TGTGGTGTGTGTGTGTGGCCAGCTCAGCCCACCAGGGGGCGGGGCTGGCTGGCATGTGGTGCTGGGGGATTGAACCGCGGTCCCTTGATGCTTTGCCAAGCTTGTTCCAAGTAGGTGCCTTAGACCACTGAGCCATCTCTCCAGCCCCTAGTATTTGTTTTATGCAGTTATGTACACTAGTGTTTGGTGCATATGTATTTATTATTATCTCTTCCTCTTGGATTGTTCCTTTTACAAGGTTGTAGTGATTTTTGTCTCTCAATCAATCTTAGCTTGAAATCCACTTTGTCTGTAAATAGAATAGCTACCCCTGCTTCTTTCTGGGTTGCTGTTGCATGTAGTATTGTTTTCCATCCTTTGACTTTCAGCCTATGAATCTATTTTTGAATTACATGTTTCTTTTGTGTAGCATATTGCTGGATCTTGCTTATTGATCCATTGTACCAATCTTTTTCTTTTAATCAGTGAGTGAGACCATTTACATTACTGGTTATAAATGGTATATGTTAAATTATCCTTGTCATGTTATTTTCTTGTTGTTGGTTCCCATTTTTTCTCCTTTTGTTTAATTACTTGCCTTCTATTGAATTAATTGTGTTGGATTTCTAGTCATTATTTTCTCTTACTATAATGTCCTTCAGAACATTTTGGAGCGCTGCTTTGGTGGTCTTGAATTTCTTCCCATGTTCTTCGTCATGAAAGTATCTTCTCCATCTGTTTTAAAAGGTAGCACAAAATGAAAGGAAGAATCCCTACCTCCCTAGAAGTTAACTAGGCGGTGAGGCACAGTACAGGTCGGTATACTGATTCATAGACACTTGAGCACAAATAGGCATAAACTGAATTCCTCACACTCAAGGTAGAGTGATGGTCTCTTAGTCAAAGAAGATCAGGCATGACTAGCAGAATGGTTCTTGCTGGCAGCTAATTCCAAGTAGCCAGAGCCAGCTGACTTAAGGTAATCTGTTGAAAAGATCAGCTTGCTGGGCATGATGGCACATATCTGTAATTTTAATTACTCAAGAGGCTGAGGTAGGAGGATTGCGTAATCACAGCCAGCTTGGGCAACTTACCCAGACCCTGTCTCACAATTAAATATAAAAAGATGGTGATATAGCTCGGTGATAGAGCATCCATGAGTTCAATCCTCAGTGTAACAAAAAGAAAAAAGGAGGGGTCAGTTTGCCTAAGTATAAGGGGATAGTATGATTTAGATACAGTACAGTTTACATGTAGATTCGCAGAAATAAAGTCTGACCAGTTTCTGCAAAAATGAAGGGATATGTTATAAAAGGATAAAACAAAGAACAGTTTAAATTCTTCTGGTAAACAGGAAGAGCCACTCTGGCATTATTTCATCTTAACAAGAAACAGAAAGCTGAAAACTAATAAAACAACTCTTGCTTACGAAGCATGAGATGATGGACCTCACCTATGGAGTAACAGTGTAGAAATTGCTCATTTGATAACCTTGGTATGTTTCAGTTTTTAACATATATAAATATCTTGTTTTCAAAATTTTTATTTTTGCATCACAGGCAGTAGAGCTATCTGAGATGTTTGTGTAGTACCCAACCCAGGTCTTGGCGTGCATGTTCCTATCCCTTGCAAATAGAAAAGACAGGGTGATAAATACTGTTTATGAAATTGAATCCTAGGGACTCATTCATTATATTTAATATATTTCCCTGTTGTCAAAATGCTATTTCATTAGGTGTCATTGTGTGTAGATCAGAGGTTCTAGAAATTTAAGATTATAATCCACCTTCAGTAAAGGAAATTTTTGGTGGTTTAAATCACATTTTGTTAATTCAGATTCCTACATTATTAATATAATTTAACTTACATTGCATTTTGTGTTTTGCAGATTGTTCTCTCTGTATAAGAAAATTTCTGTCATATAAAACTCAATGTCCAACATGCTGTGTGGTGAGTTTTTATTTATTTTTAACTTATACACATATTTCAGCTTCACGCACATTCAGAAGCACATGGGCAGCATACTAAGCACCTGGGTTCAATCTCCCACACCACATGCCGTGCTGGCCCTGACCCCAGGCACCGAGACCATGAATGGTGGTGCACGCCTGTAATCCCAGTGCTGGGGAGGCTGAAAACAGGAGGATTACTATGAGGCCGAGCTGTGTAGTGAGACCGTGTACCAAATACATGAAAAAAAAAGAAAAGAAAGAAAGCACATGGGAAGAGAGCAGTAGTAGTTATTGAGTTAAACTATATAAAAGACATAGTAGTTATTGAGTTAAACATTTAAAAGACATTTTCAGAAATGACCTATAAAGTACATGTAAGGCTTTGTTCAATTTCTCATTATGTTTTCTGATAACCTAAATGTATTTTAGGAAGTAAAAAATAGTTTTAAGATCAGGATGAGGTGTTCTTTACTATGAACTATATTTTTGTGGATCTGTTTTAAAAATAATTTTTCACTTTTGGTGTATACTGCTTGTTGGATTATTCATTTGCAAATGGCTAGTGTAGTATTGATGCAGAAGGTGGAGGTGCATGTCCATTGGGCTTAAACCAGCCTAACTGATCCTTTATCTCTTTCTCAAACCAGACCTTCAGTGAGAACACTAGGGCATTTGTTGCTAAGGGTTTTAACCCTTTTCAAGTACTGTAGTGAGAGTGATTGGGAAGCTGAATTGGTGGAAATCAAACCTAAGTGAAAATAAAGAGAAAAGAGACAATCATAGAAAGTACACCAAAACTAGATGAAGGTTCGACTAATGTGGCCCCTCCAGTAGGTTCATTGTATCAGGATATCGCCAAACTCTTTTTTTTTTTTTTTAAATTTTTATTTGTGTGTGTGTGTGTGTGTGTGTGTGTGTGGCCAGCTCAGCTCACCAGGGGGCAGGGCTGGCTGGCATGTGGTGCTGGGGGATTGAACCACGGTCCCTGTGCTTTGCTAAGCTTGTTCTGAGTAGGTGCTTTAGACCACTGAGCCATCTCACCAGCCCAGCCAAACTCTTCTGAACTATAGTGTCATGCAGAAAATGGTACGGTTTGGCTCCCAGCTCCAGGGTCTTTACTGCTGTGCTTCATGTCTTTGCCAAAATGGCCTTGTCATGGAGATGCTAAATAAGTGCTGGATTTAACATTTTTCTCTTGCTGAAAACCAGTCATATTTTTAAAATCTCTTTGAAAACTTTATGGTCCTCCTAGTTTATTACTTAAAAGAATGTCTCTCTTATCCTTGCAAGAGAACATTTTAAGCAAGCTGAGTGCTGGCATTTTGAAGAAAAATTCTTGCTCATATTAGGTTTTATCTTAGTGCAGAGTAAATAATACATGATTTTAACAGATGGTTTTGAGAGTTCTTATCAGACTTCCAGTTAGCAGGTGCCGATTCACTCTAAACAACGCATTAGTATGAGACAAATGAACTTTATTTTGAGTCTTTCCTGGAAGACTTAGTGGTATGGAGTGTCTCAAGAGAATGGGTCAGGCAGTTTCATAAACAAGATTATGGCAAGTTAATTATTGTTTTTGACCTTCTTCCATCTGCTGTTTTTCTTTTCTAGACAGTCACAGAGCCAGACCTGAAAAATAACCGTTTATTAGATGAACTGGTAAAAAGCTTGAAACTTGCACGGTATGATTTAATTTTGTGACTAACCTCTAACCACTTTGCTTCTTTGTGTGTCCTCTCTGTGTTCTTTTTAGTTAGGGAATACAGGGATTTTTAGGGTAGAAGAAATGACAATGGTTATTATTCAGACAAGGAAATGTGAAACCCACTAATGTGATTTTCTTCCTTTATTTAACAAAAATTCTGTTTAAGGAAGAACTATTAAAGAGTTAAAAATGCATATTTGATGAATTCCTTACTTTTGCTGCCTTAAAGATACTATACTTGGCATTTATCTTGCAATTTTTTTTGCTCTAGTCCTAGAATTAGCCATGTCTCTTTGGAGTCCTGGTTTCTTTTATTGGTAAATGGTATTTAGAAGCCAGGACCTGCTGTAGTTATTACCCCTCAAGTGTCACTGCTTCTAAGCCCTTTCAGTGACAGAACTAGGTGACAGATGCATGCATGCGTATGTGTGTTCTAATCCATGTTTACACATTTACCTGTAATTGGCTCTATGAGCTATGTATTAATGCATTAATTCTTAATCTGATTTACTGAGCATGTATTACATGTTGTACCATGTGAAATACCTACTTGCTTTTACTTTATAAGCCTCTTAATGTGTAGCTGTATTTCCTTCGAACTTGTGAAAACAAATTTGGTCACCCAAAGGGATATAAAAGATAATGAACAATAAAAGGGATGTAAAAGTTTAACAAACAGTATCTTGAATTATTTTTAGTTTTAGTTATATAAATAGTAATTTTCATTAAGAACATAATATGTTTATATAATGGTCAGGTGCCATTATGTTAGGTGTATCGCTTGTATTTTGACTCATGGGGAACATTATTGGAGATACTTCATATTACTTTGAAAAATGTACACAGATTTCTTCCTGTAGAATTGCACGTTTATTGATAGATTTGTATCTTTAAAATAATCAAATTTAGTACTCTTACTTCATACAACTTAATTCTAGAATTTAAACATTATGGTAGTTGGCCTGTTATTTCCTTAAGTGAAATCTCACAAAGACAGTCCACTTTCCTAGATTAAGAAACCCTAAGATTCTTGGCTTGCCTTAATTATTTTCATATTGTAAAATTCATCAGTGGTGAGTTTTCAGATGGGCAAATGTAGTCTGATTCTTGTGATTATACTTGCTGCTTTTCTCACCATTAAGTAGTGAGTTTTGAAGACTCTTAAGAGGATAAAACCATGTTTCTAGGAAGACATGGGCTACTTTAGTTTTCCAAGACAGTAAAACTGTCAAAGCTTTCTTGTGTTTCTTCAGCTGGTACTGAAAGTGTAACAACCTTCCTACTAGCCAAGAGGAAGCAGGGCAGATAAAGCAGCTGTTTGTCAAAAACAAGTGCTGAGCGTTATTAGGCTCACAGACCTCTTGGTGACTTAGAAGGAGACCTTGGAATAGTTTTCTTCTTCTCTGCCTGCCATTCCCTCCTGAAAGAATAAGCTATGTTGTTATTCATTACAGTGGTGTGGTGGGGTAGAAGCATTTTTTATAGGTTTAGGATGGATTTCATCATTTGTTTCTCTTTGTACTGGGTCTGTTGGAATTAGTACTATCATCCTTGCAGTGAACCAGTTCTTAGACATTCATCATGTACAAAATGCTGTGGTACTTCATCTGCAAAATTAATAGAGGAAATGAAGCTAATCCAGTATTATTACTTGTGTGAATTCTGGTTTAGGATGGAGGGAGAAAGTGTAATCTTATGACTAAAACGTAAGGTAATTTCTGTTTTTCAATTTTTCTAGTTTTTTGTCTTTGCCATCTGTCATTATCGTCTTAAGTGCCATTCTGATTTTTAAAAACTGAATATTCCAAATTAAACAAGATACAGGAAATAATTTCAGAAGTTTTCAAATACAAAACTAACATGTAGCTTTTACATTTTCTTCTGATCTTTGCCTTTTATCTTCAAAGAACAAGGGTTTTTTGTTTGTTTTTCCCTTAATACAGTTTTATTTAAAATAACGTTTTAAAAAACCTATTGTGTTGAGCATTGAGGCAGATCTTGTGCAGCCTAGGCTGGCTCTCCTCCAGCCTCCCTAGTGGCTGGGACTACAGGAATGTGTGTGTAAGTGGAATATTGTTCTTACTTCAAGTAGGAAAGTATTGTTTCTCTGTTTTTGCATAGCAGCTGTAGGAAGCCCCTTCTGGTCCTTGTCTCAGTTCAAGAAGTTTATATTTGTAATTCCAAAAATACGTTATTGGAATCCCATCAAGTGAATTCCAGTCTACCACTCCCAGTGTAACCTATGGCAACAATAAAGACTCTAAAGCATATTTATGATTATGGGGGTTCAAGGGGTCCTAAGTCCAGCCATGAAGATGGCTTGCTAGAACAAAGGCCTTGACCCAGGGCCGAACCTGGGTTTTATTCTGTTGTGAAGGAGGAGTGGCTTGAGGATGAAGGACTGAGATTTGTGGGAAGTAGGTGAGTGCTGTGAGCTGAGCTAGGTAGGTGGCCTGCATTAACCTCTGTCATATGCAGAGAGAAGGATATACAGTAAAAGTAATTTGCATTATACTGTTGAGATAGTATCTAATATTTTGGGGTCTGGTGCTTCAGCTCTGATGTATAATCTTTTAAGCCCCAGGAAGTCATAGCCTCTGTCTCCAGGCTCAATCCCAGCCGACAGCTTAGAGCATTGGCTCTTCATCCTGTCTCAACTGATGGCTCATATTAAAGACCAGTGTGCATTGCATAAGGTCACTTGACAGAATAAAGAGAAGTCCTAGCCAGCTCTGTACATATCAATAAAAGGAAATAGGGTCAGGCTCAGCCAAAATGGAGATGATTGCTGTTCTTTCAAGGAGAGCTGCTCAGGTGGTCCTCCACAGAGCAGCCATGTTTCATCTGTATCATTAATATTATTATTTTGGTTTTTTGAGATAGGGTCTTGCTATGTAGTTCAGGCTGGCTTTAAACTCAACTATATAGTCTAAGCGAGCCTCAAACTTGTGGTGATCCTCCTGCTTCAGCCTCTTCAGTACTAGGATTATAAGTGTGCACCACCATGCCTGGCTATATGCAATATTATTATTTTTACAATTCACTTTGATTTAGCTACCATCAAGGTTTGAATTTTCTCCTAAGTATTCCTATTTTAAGAATTTAAGTATTTTAGATAATAGCATCTCACAAGGAGAATGTAGAATATAATTTCCCCTTTACTTGTGATTGTGATATTTAAAGCATACTAGCCTTGAACTGAGGTAGGTAGACATGTGCTCTTGGCTTTACTAATTCTGATATGATAGTAATGTTGACATTTAACCTTTTTGGCCTCTGTTTCTACATCTGAAAATAAATTGGAATAATACTATCGATAGGATTGAAAATGAAATCGTCAACATATTCAGGGCAGTACCTAGGACAAAGAAATAAAGAAGAGTTCTGTTGTTATTACTCTGTATTTGCTTCCATTTAGTATCCTGTTGCCCTCTTTTACATTGTTGCCCATGGCGCTAATAATGTGTGCTTTGTTGATTCTCTGCCTGTTTAGCTCAAGGGCTCTGCACTGGTACTTGCATGTTTCAGATCAGAACAAACATTCAAGGACTTTGGTTAGAAAGATAACTCAGTTAATTGCATGATTTAATGGCTGCCTGATTTTTTTTTTTTTTTAAAGAAGCCTGTTTTAACTGCTGATTTTTGAACTGCATTCTAAGGAGATCAGGTTATTCATATAGTAAACAACCAGGCAGGACTTTTCTGTCCTTTCTCAAGTCACAGTTACTTATTCAGAACCAGAAACCCTTTGGAGGAAAGTTTGTGGGGCTGCATGCTTAGGTGGCTGACAGCTCCTTCCCAGCTAGCTGCATCCTTGTGAGAAGGTCAGTGAAAAACTCTTTGGGACTTCATTTACCTTTTATAGAAATGAGTGCATTGATTGATCTTTGAAAGTCTTTCCAGCTCTGAGATGTCTGAGAACCTATGATGAATAGGTCATTGTAATACTGTTAGTATTGGTAATGATTAGTCATTGTATTAGCAACTCACCTTGATATAAATTTTAAGGGTGGTAGAAAGGAAAAATTACCAATTCAGTTTAAGTCTAAGCATTAATTTGGGAATTGATATTTTCACCTAGCTCATTTTAAAGTACATGAATTTTAAAATATCTCCTGGTTTTAAGTAGCATCGCTACATTCATGGCTTCCAAATCTAATAAATCTTCAGCCAGGTTTCTCCCCAAAACTTGAGACCCACATCCGCCTGCTTATTTTACATCCCTCCTTGGACCTCTGAAGAGCAACTGTTGTTGAACATGTCCAAAAGGAGACTGCTTCCTTGTGCCGCCCCCTTCCTGTGTCAGCCTGCTGCTCTCCAGACTTCCTCAGTGCTCTGGCCGCACCCTCCTCGGTTACCCAGCCTAGCAGTTTCTAGCCCACTGGGCTCCTCCCCTTTATAATGTACAGTCTGCCAATTCATTAGTCATTCCTGGGGGCTGCATCTTAGAATACTTCTGGAATATGACTGCTTTGCCTCTCTTAAGTGGTATCATCCAGAGTGTGGTCCAAGTCCCTGACAGCCTGCATGACTGCGCTCACCTCCTCATGGTCTGTTTATTTCTGCCTCTTGCCCCCTTATATCTACTCAGCCTGGGTGGTCCTTCCAAGATAAGTCAGAGTATGCTTGAAACTATTCAGTGCTTACTCCAGATTAGACAGCTTTATGTTACTACAATGAAATTCCTGAGGCATTTAATTTTATAAAGAGGAAAGGTTAATTGGGTGCAGTGGTGCATTCCTATAATCCCAGCACTCTAGGAGGCTGAGCATGGGAATGGTGTCTCAGGTAAGCTTCTCTTGTTGCTGAAACAAATACCCAGCACCCAAACTGAAGGAAGGAAAGGTTTATTTAGCTTACAGTTACGGGAGGTTTTAGTCCATATTCAGATGGGTCCAAGGCAGGGCAGCAAGCAACTTTTTTTGGTGGCAGCAAAGAACAAGAAAGCAAAGGAGGGGTAGCAGCAGCTCAAGTCAC